CTGTTACTAGAACTCCGCGAGTCGGATGTGTCGCCTTGTGAACAGCTGTCTGAGTTAGGCATTTTCTTCTTAAATATAGGTTATTTATAAACACTGCTCTTACAACGTACATGTACCTTGAACTTTAGTGGCATATGAACTGATTGTATCAATGTTACATCAGGATTAATAAAACTGTTATATTATCAAAAATAAAAATACCATGGAAAAGTTTTACACTGACAGATCAAATGGAGGACTCTGTGATGGATTCTTAAGCATTGCACTTCAGGTCAATGAAAAGAGCTTACATACCAAATTTGGAGTCAATCAAACTTATATTGACCAAGTTATGCTCTGGACAACACTATTTATTAAAACAAGAGCTGTCGGTAGGACAGCAACGCTCGACTATTCTTAGTGCTTGATAGAAAAAAAAAAATGCTTGATACAATTACCTCCTCCTGTTTACAGGTTGGGGTTATGATGGTGAACAAGTGTGCAAAGTTTCAAAGCCATATGTCAATGGACTTTGAAAATATTTGAACTATTACAAAAACTTTAACGTAAATTCCAAGTCGAAAAAAGGGGCATAATTCTGTCAAAATGCTTGATACAGTTACCTCCTCCTGTCTACAGGTTGGGGTAATGATGGTGAAACAAGTGTGCAAAGTTTCAAAGCCATATGTCAATGGACTTTGAAAATATTTGAACTATTACAAAAACTTTAACGTAAATTCTAAGTCGAAAAAGGGGCATAATTCTGTCAAAATGCTTGATACAGTTACCTCCTCCTGTCTACAGGTTGGGGTAATGATGGGTGAACAAGGGCAAAGTTTCAAAGCCATATGTCAGTGGACTTTTGAAAATATTTGAACTATTACAAAAACTTTAACATAAATTCTAAGTCGAAAAAGGGGCATAATTCTGTCAAAATGCTTGATACAGTTACCTCCTCCTGTATACAGGTTGGGGTAATGATGGTGAACAAGTGTGCAAAGTTTCAAAGCCATATGTCAATGGACTTTGAAAATATTTGAACTATTACAAAAACTTTAACATAAGTGGTTACGCCGACGCAGACGCCGACACTGACGCCGACGCCGACGCTCGGGTGACTACAATAGCTCTACTTATTCTTATCGAATAGTCGAGCTAAAAATTAACATAAAGCAATAACTAAAAACTCAATAACTCCAAAAAGTGCAGAGATGAGATCTCTATAGTCCCATGATGTTTCAAGTCACGATCAATAGCTTTTAAAGTGTAGGATAAATGGCCTGGAAAAAACTACAAATTTTATCACTATCGCTCCTTGAGTTAGATGTACCATCCAATATCAACAGATGTGTAAAATGTCTGAAATCATTTTGTGAGTAGCTTATAAATAGAAACTAATGAATGAAGTTTCCAAACTAAAATCTATTTTTGGTTTCTTTGACTTTTACACTAACACCGGAAAGTGAAAATAACGCATTTGTGCAATAAGTAACGCAGAAATGTGCAGAAATGGCAGATATCTGACAGGACTTCGAACGCAGTAAATAAACTGGTCAATATATTTTTTATTTAACCAAACTGAAAACAAGAGGGCCAATATCGCCCTAGATCTCTCACCTGACCAATCGAACTCATCCGTGCAATTACCTTGACAAGTTTCAAGGGCCCTGTGACCTTGACCTTTGACCTTAAAATAAATAAGGGTCATCTTCTATCTTCTTATCATGACTAACCTCCATGCCAAGTATGAAGACTGTAGGTCAAAGGATTTAAAGTTATTGGACGGACAATATTTTTTCTGTCAAGGCCCCTGTGACCTTGACCTTTCACCTGGTGACCTCAAAATCAATGCCGGTCATCTACTTATCATGACTAACCTGCATGCCAAATACGAAGACTGTGGGTCAAAGAATTCTTAGGTTATTGTGCTGACAAGATTTTTGAAGTCAAGGTCCCTGTGACCTTGGCCTTTGACCTGTTGGCCTCAAAATCAAAAGGGGTCATCTACAAATCATGACTAACCTCCATGCCAAATATGAAGACTGTGGGTCAAAGGAATCTTAAGTTATTTGGCGGACAAGCATTTTGAAGTCAAGGCCCCATTGTCCTTGATCTTTGACCTGGTGACCTCAAAATCAATACGGGTCATTTACTTATCATGACTAACCTCCATGCCAAATTAAAGACTGTGGGTCAAAGGAATCTTAAGTTTGGACAAGCATTTTGAAGTCAAGGCCCCTGTGACCTTGACCTTAGACCTGGTGGCCTCAAAATCAAAAGGGGCCATCTACTAATCATGACTAACCTGCATGCCAAATATGAAGACTGTGGGTCAAAGAATTTTAAGTTATTGGGCGGACAAGAAAAAAACGATGGACAGCCGGAGGAACAAACGTTCCAACATTTTGGGTTTAGGGGCTATTTTCTTTGTTATTTTCTTTGATTTCTTAAGGGCTACTTGCCCATAAACCCTTTGATCACGGAATGAACCAATTGTTCTCTTTTGCTCTCTTTACTGTTATATAGCCCCTAAACCCAAAATGTTTGCTCGGACAGCCGGACAGACAAGCCAATCCCAGTATATCCCCCTTACAACTTTGTTGTGCGGGGGTATAAAAAGTTTATTACCGATCACAATAATCCGAAGCTTTACGGAAATAGTAGAGCAATTTTCATTGATTAAAATGATATTTATCTACGTAATTTGTGATTGTTCATTTATTGACAATTGTATAAGCCATTTTGAATGCGTTATACTTCGATACGCTGGATACATGTAACAAAATAAAAAATTTTTTTTTTCTCTTTTAAATCGCTATTTTTATGTTGTTTCGAGAACTACTTTTTGTTGTTAGGATTGTTGGGAAGCGCTGTTCCTGAGACTGAATGTCGGCATTGTATTTCCTGATCTGCGATCAGAAAATACAAAAATAATTGTTGCGCTTTGTTCTTAATGTAATAGTTATAGTATATGAAACGTGTTGGTTACGAGGATATAACACTGGCTGGGGAGACATCAAGGGATGTTTCTGCAATGTGACCTTGACCCAAAATCAAAAGGGGTCATCTGCTGGTCATGACCAATCACCATACCAAGTTTGAAGTTCCTAGGCCTAAACGTTCTTAAGTTATTGATCGGAAACTGTTTTCACTAATAAGGTCAATGTGACCATGACCGTTGACCCCTTGACCTCAAAATCAATAAGGGTCATCTTCTGGTCATGACCAATCACCATACCAAGTTTGATGTTCCTAGGCCTTAGAGTTCTTTAGTAATTGATCAGAAACTGTTTTCACTTACAAGGTCAATGTGACCTTGACCTTTGACTCCTTGACCCCAAAACAATACGGGTCATCTACTTGTCATGATCAATCATCATACCAAGTTTGAAGTTCCTTGGCCTAGGCGTTCTTTAGTTATTGATCAGAAACCATTTTCACTTCCAAGGTCAATGTGACTTTGACCTTTGACCCCAAAATCAATAGGGGTCATCTACTGGTCATGACCAATCACCACACCAAGTTTGAATGACCTAGGCCTAAGCGTTCATTAGTTATCACTTGGAAACCATTTTGTCTACGGACCAATGGACCGACAAACAATATTTAATGCAAAGCAATATACCCCCTCTTCTTTGAAGTCGGGGCATAATAAGGAAAATCAATCACCCCCTTGGGCGGGGCCAATTTTAACCCAAGGGCATTTATTTGAACAAACTTGGTAGACACTAACTAGATGATGTTTCATTTTCATTTAAGCTCTAGTTCTTTCGGTTTTCTAAAAGAAGATATTTTTTGTTTTTTCTTTCGGTTGCCATGGCAACCAGAGTTCTACTTGGAATTAAATTCTTTGAACAATTTTTAAAGTTGACTACCAAAGGAACATTCCTGTGTTTGGATGAAATTGGCTCAGTGGTTTATGAGGAGATGTTGTTTAAAGTAAAAGTTTACGGACGGACGACAGAAGGATGAACAGACGAAAAGCAATCAGGTGACAGGCGAACTAATAAGAAGTGCAGAGTACCAGTTTTTGTGCACTGCACTTCTTCTCATTAAGATCTATCATCCAATGAACAAATGAACAGCTTTTATAATTTAGGAGAAATGGCCTGGACAAAAATAAAGTATGAAAATAAACAAAGAGCAATTACTCTAAAATTTTCACCCTAGGGCTTTTACTTGAACAAACTTGGTAGACATCCACTAGAAGAAGTTTCATGCCAAATATCTAAGCTCTAGCTCTCTGTTTTTAACAAGAAGATTTATATGTATATAACGAAAATCAAAGACCCCCAGGCGGGCCAATTTTGACCCCGGGGCTATAATTTGAACAATTTTTGTAGAGTTTCAGTAGATGATGTTACATAGAAAATATCTAAGCTCTAGGCCTTGCACTTTCAGGAGATTTTTTTTTAAAGATTTCATTTCACAAATCTTTTTTTCACCCTCCTGACCAAGATGTTCAATTGAGCAGAACAATTTGAACAATTTTAATAGAGCTTCTTGCTAGGTAAATCCCAGGAAAATTTCATCACATTTGGCCCAGTGGTGTCTATAAAGAAGTTGTTTTTATAAAAAATTGATGACGGACGCAGGGACGCACTGACGGACGCCAGACAAATTGCGATCACAAAAGCTCACCTTGAGCACTTTGTGTTCAGGTGAGTTAAAAATATAAAAGTTTTGACCTCTTTTTCTTATTGACATGAAAGTCTATAAAATTACACTGAAAGGTTTCATAAAAAATACACAAATGTACTGGTCTGTGCATGCACGTGAAAATAGTGTTCTGCCAGTTTCTCCTGCAAAACAAATTAAAATTTGTTTTATCGGACACATATTAATCTCGCCAGAATATATGTAGCTCATTAGACATATTGACTTTTTAAAATTAAACTCCGCTTAAACACAGGGAAAGTTGTTTTTTTCTTCAGAATATGTCTTAGTTCCATGTAAATGCTAGCAATATTTCACTGGTATCTGTAGACAGTGATATATCTGTATAAATAAGAAAAAATATATAATAATTCAGTTTTAATTAAAGTCTGTGGTTTAGAATTTTACACTGATCCCCTGTCATGGATGCTAAACTATTTAATTTGCATGCATGCTGTTTTCATAAAATGCCAAGATAATAACATAATAAACAAGTAACTAGAAAACAAGTTATAAATGATTAACTAATTAATACCTATACAATAAATAAAATGTGGTTACTGTAACAGTTGAAGAAAGTTCTCTTTAACAAGTAAGACCATTAACAAATTACTAACTATTCTAACACTTTCAGAGTTATTTCAGTGCAAATATCTGTCTGATCCCATTGTAGAAACAAACTGATGTTTGATAACCTGAGAGACATTAGGTTACACTGTTATAACTGATTAAAGAGGGTCATGATGACCCTAATATCGCTTACCTCAATATTAATACTCTCCATGACAAGAGACAAGTAATATTGTAAACTAAAAGCGAAAGCAGATATAAAATCTAAATCATAAACTGATATGAACAAGTACGAGTATATGTCCGGAAAGTTCATATACATCTTCATTTTTATTGTATAACAATACATACGCTGTACAAATTTTTTCAGCATAAATATACATATCTAGCGAACACATTTATCAAAAATTATTGAACTGTGACTTACGTTTGTATTTTAACAGTATTTACATATAACATACATACATCGTCATGGAGCACTTTGACAGCGTCAACGGCGTCAAATTAACTTCATGTTTACCAACATTTCAATTTCTTCCGATTTCAATAGCCATGGTACCTGTCTCGCGTATACTTAATACATGTAATGTTCTTTGCTATTACTTCATGAATTTCATATTTAAAATTATTATTTAAAATCAAAGATGTCAATGGTTCCCATATAGTGTGTGAGATGTTTGCCTTTTTCAAAAATTGTAACGCAATCTACGATATTTCGGCCATGCTACTTTTGGTCGTCTGGAGCGTTTCTTATACGACATCCTGTCATCACCGCTTCTTAATCTTGTTTGACATTTAAACACAAGTTGCCTTTAACATTTTATGGTTGATTTTGTTTTTAAAAGTTAAGATTAAAATCTCAGTTGGCTCATATTAGCGTTGCTATGAAGTTAAATATCATTCAATGCTCCGTCCGTGAATTTGACGTCATTTTTGCAACACAAAATTTACACACCTTCATTGCCTATAATCATCTTTTACAAGCTGTTTATTTACGTATGACGTCATAATTTACACTTTACATCATGTAATAGTATCCTATGAGGCCACAAAATTAAAAGGAGAGTTTGCGTTAAAATTACAACTTTTAGCAACTTATTATTCGAGTAGCTATCGTTATGAAATCAAGTGCTCCGTGATTCCTTGATCATGTTGCCATAGTGATCGGCGCTTTACATATGTTTATTTCATCATGTCTTTTAATTTAGAAATATGTAGCAAATAAAAACTTTAGCAAAATATCCAATCATCATATTGATATGACTGTTTATAATAATTTCATAGCCTTGTCTACGAACTTTCCGGACAGCCCTCGTATATATTTGTATCTGAAATAGTGCACCCGAAAAGACATTACTGGTTGCTATTGCTAAGGGAAAACAACAGTAACATAAGAAGTCGCTGGTTGTTATACAAAAATAAATAGTTTCCTTGCTATAAAATTCAATGGTAGATTCACTGGTTGCTATGGAAAGTTAATGTTTGCTACGAAGTCCCTAGTTGCTATGGAAATTGAGTTTTAGCTCTTGTAGATTTAGAGAAGAAGTTTTTTACATATACATATGAACTGAGGACTACTATTTGAATTTTTTGTAGAGGTCCACCAGACAATGTATCATACCAAATATCTATGCTAAAGCCTCTATAGTATAATAGAATAAGTTTTCTTTGTTTTAACACTAAAGGTGGGGGGGGGGGCTACATATAAAGAAAATCAATGAAACCTGAACGGGGCCAATTTTGACCTCCGGGCTTTTATTTAAACAAACTTGGTAGAAACCCACTAGAGGATGTTTCATGCTTCATATCTAAGCTCTACCTCTTCTGGATTTTTAGAAGAATTTATAATATCACCCCCTGGGGTGGGGCCAATTTTGACCCAAAAGCTTTTATTTGACACCCACTAGAATATGTTTTACGCTTAATATGCAAGCTCTAGCTCTTTCAGTTTAATACAAGAAATTATTTTTAGTTTTTACTATATACTTATAAGGAAAATCAATGACAGGGCTAATGCTGACTATTTGAACAAACTCGGTAGACAGCCATAAGAAGATGTTTCATGCTTAATATATACATGTAGGCTCTACAGTAGCTCTTTCGTTTTTTTTTTACAAGAAGATTTTTTAAGTTTTTTCTTTCTGTTGCCATGACATCCAGAATTTAGCATAGTATGGAATGAACAATTTTTAAAGAGTACCATGCCAGGAACATTCCTAAGTTTTAACAATATTAGCCTTTTGGTATAGTAGGAGATGTTGTTTTAAGAATTTGACACCATTTTTGAAGGATGTACAATGTACGCAGAGTATTCTCAAAAGCTCAATCTTGAGCAATTTGTGCTCAGGTGAGCTAAAAAGTAGAAAAAAAAAATCTATACTGAAACCCCTTATAGTTTAAAGTATTCAAATGTCAAAAGTCAACATAAAAATCTATTAGCATATACATGTAAGATTATACAATGTACATGTATTCTAAAACTGCTACGTTTCTATAGAATCAGTTAATGTAGATTCACTGAGATTTAAATAAAAAAAAATACTATAATAGATGTTTGATTTAAATATTTCATATATTCAGATATCAAATATAGAAAGAAAAGCTATTATCAGTTTTAAAATCTGGTTTATACACACTGTCCATAACTTTTGCAGAAGCGGTGGGTCCATTAATTTCGAAAATATGGTTGTTCTGTGCAAGTATCATACATATGATGCGATGCCCTTGTATTTAGGGGTCTTTGTGCACACATTTGTACATGTTTTAACCAAAATTAGGAAAAAGTGGCGTCCCCACGTGAAATTGTACAGAACTGTTTGTATAAATAACAATGTATTGCACAATGTCCATGTTATAAGTTGGAAGAATATATATGTAGGCTCCCACCTCACTAGTAAAACATTAAAACATTAAGTAAAATTCAGTCATAAACTTACTGACAACAGCAAACAGCCATTTTTTATCCATCATTTCTGTGATGAATACTCCAACGCCGTTGCGATAGACACATAGCTATGGCTAACTTATCATGAAGGTGTATATAAAAATATATAACTATCTCCTCTTCTTTCTAAAGATGACAAGACACGTTTAAGTGATAATAATTTCATAATGATCACAGATTGTTTATAATCATGTTCGCATCATAACAACACACATTAAAACATGTTTAACATTTACAAATTCTAAAAACAAGCACCCATTATGAGAAATGGCAAGCAGCAAAACATTGACTGCTACACCAACCAGCTGATTTCTAATGGCTGTAGAAGATTCTCTGATAGGTGGATCACTACCAACATCTGAAATGTAAAATAATATGTACAATTTTAACTGGACAACTTTTATAAATGGACAATTTGAAAATAAGTAAAACATAAATTTATAATGAATAAAAATTGGCCTCATATTTTGTGGCAAGTCCAAAGAAAATTATCTTGTGGTCTGGTTTTATTTTTTGAATGATTTTTATTTGTTTGGGTCGTCAGACCAAACAAATAATGGTAGCGAATTTCAGACTCTAATGCTGTTAATTGCAAGTGCCGAAAGTAGTCCACCTTTTTGAAGCGGTTACTTCTCTTTATGTGTAAACTAACGCCGAAAAATTCAAGGGGAGATCACTGCGTAAAGATGGTCAAATGACAGGCGCATTAATTTTCATGCAAAATAATTCCCGATTATCAAAAGGAATCATTTCAATACTGTGGTAAGTAACAAAAGCTACCGCCGGGCAGGGGCAATGCTCTACTTTTTACTTTTTCTAAAAGCAAACAAAGAAACGTTTAAACAAATCTTAATGTTTCCTTTTTTATAACTTTAATAGTCAAAGTATGAATCCTTTCCATAAATAAATGACAATAAAAAGAAAATATTATCAAAATTCAGAAGAAATAAAACAAGAACTGTCAGAGGACAGTAACGCTCGACTATTCGAAAAGTTGTCACAAGGGTGTTTCATTGAGTATTATAATGCTTACCTACATGAATACATAAAATTGTCCAAAAAGGTACAAAGGCTTGTTATTAAGATGATTTATCGAGTATATCACTGCTTAATTATTATGAATGCATAAAATTGTCCCAAAAAAGGCACAAACCCTTCAGTATTTATGGAGAGACCAGCTTACAAGCAAAACCTTTACCAAGAATTTCTAAGTCGAAAAAGAGGCATAATTATGCAAAAAAGCAAATCAGAGTTATATTGGGCATGTGCCAATCATGTTATAAAATCACAGAGAACAAGTGTGTGAAGTTTCAATCCATTCCCTTCAGTAGTTATGGAGATTCCAGCTTACACGCAAAAACTTAACCACAGGGACGCCAACGCCGACAAATGGGTGACTGCATTAGCTCGATTATTCTGCGAATAGTCGGGCTAAAAACAATATTTATATATATATATATATGCATAATTATGTATTACAGAAGAAAAAAAATATATATAAAGGGCTATCCTTGAAGATTATTATTTTCAAGTTTGAAAAAAATCCATTGAAAAATAACAAAGTTATAGCCAATAATAGCAAGAACAAGCAAAATTTGGACATTTGACCTTGAAGGTCAAGGTCATTTATAGATGAAGGTCAAGGTTAGTCTGGTTTTCTGAAAGGTCTTGTCCCAAGGGTTGTTGAGGCCAAGTATGAAGATAATACACCAAGAACTTAAAACTTACACAATACCTCTACTTAAAAAAAAAACAAAAACAAAAAACAAAACAAAAAAAACAACAAAAAAAACAAGATTGCATTTGTGAACTAGAAATGTGTCCATAGGACACGGGTGCCCCCACACTCCACTGATTTGTCAATCTTATGTCTCTAGGTCAAATAATTTTTTTGGCTACATGTGCCAAAGTTGAAAACAAAAAATCTTTCATGAAGTAAAGGGTAAATACTACAAATACTGAATAAATCCACAAGAAAACCCCAAGGTGCATAAGTACACATGCTGACCAACATTCTTGTATACTTTCAGGCCTACAGGTCATAAACTTTTTGAGATACGTGCAACACAAGTAAAATATTGTAAATTTTACTAAGTCAAGGGCATTAGCACATCTACTACATTCGCCAAAAAAATTTTGAACACGTGACAGGCTAAAAATCCGAAGCTGGATGGACGTTTGAACACGTGACAGGCTAAAAATCCGAAGCTGGATGGACGGACACCGGACAAAAGCAATCACAAAAGCTCTTTATGTCATTTGTGACAGGTGAGCTAAAAACACTAGAAAAAACGGAATGAACCTTATAAATACATCTGGTTTAAAACCCGGGGTCTATTCCAGGATATAGCCGCAAAATATCTAACCTCAGCCTTTGTCAATTCAGAAAAGATTTTTTACAGTTTTTACTATATATACATACATGTATAAGAAAAACCTATGATCCCCTTGGGACGGGGCCAATTTTGACGCAAAAGGCAAACTTTGAACAACTTTGGCAGGGGTCTATAGATGATATTATATACAATGTACATGTACCTAATATCTAAGCCCTAAGCCTTGTATCTTAAGACAAGAAGATTTTAAAGTTTTTACTATGTGCATAAAAAGGGAAACCTATGACTCCCTGGGTCGGGGCCAATTTTGACACTGGGGACAAATTTGAACAACTTTGGTAGAGGACCTACAGATATTATCATATACCAAATATCAAAGTTCTGGGCCTTGTACTTTCAGACAAGAAGATTTTTTATGCAACAGACTGATTACTGTGCACTCATTGGTTTCAGAGGAGATGTTTTTAAAGTATTTGTTGATGACGCACAATGACAGACGGCGGACGGTAGGGAATCACACACCAATGAGAGCTGTTAACATTATAAAATACTGGTTAACAGTTGTTCAGTCAAGTAGTAAGAAATATGTCAAAGTTGTGTATGGTCTAATTTTTAGAGGTCCTGGGCTTAGTCTGTTATGTTTTCGTTACAATCTTTAGGTTTCAATAAAGTATGGATTAATCAGGGTGTTGTAGATGTAAATATATATTTAGCATGAATTAAACAAAGATTAACAGATATATTTATACAAAATTGGTATACAAATGAGAGAAAGATCATCGAGAGCAAAAAGTAATTTATTATTTTGTGATTTTGGCTTTCGTTCTTATTTGTCAATGGTTAATAGTGAAAAGTAGAAAATTTTTTATCACGTTTCAGGACTTCTTCACATAGATTAAAAGTAGACGCTAGTAGATGGCATAAGCAGTTAAGCCTAAAACAATTCCTTATAATGAAAGAAAATGTTATGGATGAATTACATGTATTATTAGAATGTACACTGTACAATGTTTTGAGACAACAGCTTATAAATAAATATTTTTGGAAAAGACAAATATAATTTATTGAAATATCTAATTATCAGAAAATTATTGATGTTCATCTTTAAAATGTTTGAAGTAACAAACAAGAATGGTAAGAACAGCACGCTCGACTGTTCTTATTGCTTGATAGTTAAAGAGCCTTGATAATGTAAAATTTTCTCAGTTCACAAAAGTGCCACGTTATTTTTGAATTCCATGTTACAGTTATAGACCTTGGAGAGAGTCCTATTATGCTCTCAAAGAAGTGAATGACATTTCAACTTGTTTCAAAGTCAGATGTCAATGGAATATGAAACAAGAAACATGGCAATGCCACTAAACCAGGATTTCAATTATTACCATTGTAGAAAGATCCTTTGTAGATGAAATACAAATACAAGCAACAAACAATGTAACTATGTGCAATGTAAATCATAAACTAGAAGGGTTTTTGTCACAGAAACATATGTCTCCCAAAACTGTGTATGGTAACTCATGTATAGTTTCATTGAAATCCTACCTGTGAAAGGCGGACAAGATTTTTCTATTTATAGCTCTGATGGCCATTTTGTGCAGCGAAGCAGAACGTGCCAGTGATGTGCACAACTAGGGATGTAACTGATTACTCCTGTAAAGTTTGGTTGAAATCCCATCAGTAGTTTGACCTGTGAAGAGCGGACAAACTTAATGCGGACGGACAGACAACCGGGCGGACGGACGGACAACCCGACGGACGGACAGACTGCAAAGGCAAAAACAATATGTCTCCCAAAAAGTTTGGGAGACATAAAAATAAATTTTCTTTTTTTAGTAACAGTAACCTTGACCCTTGGGGCCCAAAAGTTATCTTAAGCAAGGTCTTCACATAAGCTTAATTTAAAGCAAGTGTCAATAAACATCTCATTCTAAACTCTAGTTATTGATCGGAAATTGATTGTCTATTTTTAGTAACAATAACCTTGACCTTGATCCTATGAGACCCAAAAGCAACCCCAAGGAGATCTTCACAAAAGATTATTTTACATCAAGTTTCACTGAAATATCTCTTTCCAAACTCTAGTTATTGACCTGAAAATAGTTTTCCATTTCTAATGACTGACCTTGACCTTAGGGGGCCCAAAAGCAACCCTAAGCAAGATCTTCATAAAGCTACCTATATACCATGTTGTATTGAAACTATCTACTATTATCTCAATCCAAAACTCTAGTTATTGACTGAAAACTGATTTTCTATTTTTAGTAACAGTGACCTTGATCCTTTTGGGCTCAAAAGCAAGGTCTTCATAAAAGCTTGCTATATACCAAGTTTCAATGAAATCTTTCATTTTAAACTATAGTTACTGACCGGAAACTGATTTTCTATTTTCAGTAACATTGACCTTGACCCTTGGGGGCCCAAAAGCCATCCCAAGTGAAGTGAGGTCTATATAAACACATGCTTTATAAATTTCATAAAAATATCTTATTCAAAACTCTAGTTATTGACCAGAATCCTTAGTCTTTTCTATTTTTAGTAAAAGTGACCTTAAACTTTACTCTGGAAGGGGGGAAGAACCCTGGAAGGGGGGAAGATCAATCAAAGGCAAGATATTTAAATAAGCTTGCTATACACAAAGTTTAATTAAAATATTTCATTCCTTACTCTAGTTATTGACTGGAAACAGATTTTCTATTTTTAGCAACAGTGACCTTGACCTTGACTCAACAAGACTAAAAAGCAGGCAGATGAGCTAGCAGGCGTACAACAAACTAGATAGTTTCCATTCAATAACTATATAAAGTATCACACATTTTTTGGACAACCATAACCACAATTTTGCTGGTTTTAATGCTTTTAATGGATATCCTTTTTTTCCAGATATTGAAATGTGTCATCAGGGTCACTGCCCTGGAGTAAAGCATGGATTTTGAATGAATGATACCCCTTTGTGAACCTTGAATGTTCCTGTTGCAAGGTCTATCTTTTCAAGCACAATGTATTCATTTGAATTTTCATGAAAATTTGTTGAGATTATTATTGTAGGTCACTGTCAATAAACCTTTGTGGTTACTGAACATTACTGTTCCTCTCTGTGAAATAAAGAGCTTTCAGGTTAATGTTTTGAGTGCAGGTTTTCTATTCCCAATACCTGAAGTTATTCATTTGAACCTTCTCATGTCTTCATGGTCTTAATTGTATCACTATTTCAATAGGCATAGCATTAGATCATTTCTCCAGATTAAAACCAGAATGTAAAATATTTGTGCAATATCAGCCCCTTTAACATGTGTTTATTATGACAAAGTACAGTTGGCATAATTATTCTAAGAATATGTTCAAGTGTAATAAGACTGTTAGAATTCATTAAAACCATACATATGAGGGGTGA